CCTGGCGGTCCGCTGTACTACAAGGAAGTGCTGACTCGAAGTCGATTCTACCTCGAATTCTTCTACCCCCACGACTCGGAACGCGAATGTGACAGGACCATCGGGTCCTTCAGCCACCAAAGCGAGATCACCCGAGAGCAGCTGAGTCTGCCTCTGGCCTCGCCTCCCTCTCCTTCAGGCATTCGTGGCATCCTATGGGTCGTCCAGAGTATCGACCTCTGGCTTGTCAGCCGGTCATGATGTATGATGACGACCATGAAGTACAGCGATCGCCACCTCGCTGGCCTCTCCGCAAGGCCTCCCGACCGCGTCGAACTCACGGCGCGGGCTCTCTCGGCTACGGGACCGGCCCCAGCGTCGGCTGAGGGCTGACAAGCTGCCGAGCCCAAATCACTGTGAGAGTCGTGATTTGGTGTTTTCTTTGATCTCCACTGCGGGCGAGATGGCCAATGAGCGTCGATGGGGTGCCCTTCGCGACGGCGACGGCCGAAGAAAGTTTTTTTAATATGATAAAACTATTTTCGCAATAACAAGAAGAGAGAGAGATCTCTCTCTCAATAACAAGAGAGAGAGAGAGATTTTTAGCAATACCTTAAAGAGAGGTTACAGACAGGCGGGTAAGGTCCGTTAGCAATACCAAACAACTCTAACGCAAACAACAAGGTCTGAGAATGAACAAACAAACCGAACCCCCCTTCCATATGGCTGATTCCCAGACGGAGGATCCGCGCAATGGGTTTCTTCTTTCCGGCGAGCGAAGAAGAAGGCCGCTCGCCCGTGTTCGATGGCGGCACCGCGCGGCTCCAGCGCTGCCGGCGGCGAGGACGCGTCGGCCACCTTCCTGCTGCTGTACGGCCCGCTGGTGCAGTTCAGCAGGCCGCCGGGCGCCCCCGAGCCGCAGGTCGTCGCCATGCCTGCCGCGCTTCCGCTCAGCGTCGAGACGGTCTTCAGACACCCACCGAGCGCTCCGGTCCCCGAGTCGGTCGCCCACTTTTGCTTCTGCCCGCTGCTCAAGCTGCACGAGCCCTCCGAGCTCTCCTTCTGCCTCACCGACTCGTCGGGCGCTGAGTGCTTCGGGGTGTCGCTCCAGCTGCTCTGCCGGCACGAGTCGGCGGCGGCGCCAAAGCCGGACTCCGTGCGCCGCTCTGGCTCCCTGGCCGCCGCGGGGGCGCCTTCCACCGAGCCGCGCGTCCGCCACCGGCCCGTCGCCCTAGTGCTGCTCTCGCGCCGGCCGCTGCTCAGCGGCTTTGCGCGCGTGCTGCGCTCGCTCGCGCCCCTTGTGCGGCGGCTGCAGCGGCTTCCGACGACGAAGTCGCCGCGGCGGATCGAGGTGCGCGCCGGGCGGGACCGGAGCGGCGGCGGCCTCGGCCTCGTCCTCAACGGCTCCAACACCGTGATGGCGGTCCGAGAGCGGCTTGGTTGCGGCGGCGCGCGCATTTCTCTTTTGCGCAGCGCGGTGAGTTCCTCGATAGGTCGAGAGCGGGTCGGTCGCGGCGAGAGAGCGGCAGCTCCGGCCGGGAGACGTGATTGTGTCGGTGGACGGGGTCGATCTCGGCGGAAGGAGGCTCGCAGAGGCGCTGGCGGGCGAGGCGGCGGCGGCCGCTGCCGCAGCGGGAGGCGCTTCTGCAGCGCCTGGCGCTTCTGCAGCGCCTGGCGCTGCTGCAGCGGGGGGTCGGCCCTCCGGGGAGGGAGGAGATGTGCCTTCGGAGGAGCAGGCTCGCCCCGCCGCCGCGCCGCCGCCGGCCGTACCCCCGCCGGCCGCGTCTCCGGCGGGGCGGCTGCTTCTCGGCGTGCGGAGGACGCACGAGCGTCTGCAGGCGATTCTTTTCTCTGCACAGACGAGACGCAGGTCGCGTCGCTGTTTGGCAGAGCGATGTCTTTTCTCTGCAGGCCGAAGCGGCGGACGCAAAGCAGCTCGCGGCCCGCCGCGGCGCTCGTGCTGCGCCCCTCCCTCCTGGATCCTGCCCTGACCCCTTCCTCGAACCTTCTAGGCCGCCGCGGCTCTCGTGCTTCGCCGGATGGCTGCGCGGGAGGCGGACGTTGCTCCGGCTCGCCTCGAGCCCGAACTTTCCTGGAACGGCCCCTGAGCCTTCCCGGAGCCTGCCAGGCGGACCTGCTCTGGCTCGCCTCCAACCCGTTTTGGACGGCGGCCCCGCTCGAGCCCCTCTTCCGCTCCCTCCACTATGGGGCGGCTGAGGTCGTCTCCCCGTTGCTCGGTCCGCTCCAGAATCGACAGTGAGTCATCAAGAATCAGTCCTCAGGTCGTGTATTTGCTGCTCGGCCTGCTCGCGGACCAAAAGCTGCTTCTCACCGCATCGGACCCCGCCGTGTTGGTGCCCGCCGCACAAGCGCTGCGCGCGCTGATGCTGCCGCTCGCGCACTCGGCGACGTGCGTCCCGTTCCTCCCTCTTGCCCGCCTCGCGCACTTCTGTGTCCGAAAAGGGATGGCTCCTGCGTCTAGGTACATCCCCTATTTCCCGCCGACTCTGCTCGCGCCGTCAGACATGGCGAGTCGCTCAATCTCGGAGCGCGGCATTTTTTCTTTTTTCCACCCGCCGCGCCGTTGCTCTCAAGGCGACGCTCATCTCGGAGAGCACCGCGCCGTACCTCATCGGGGTGCACGCGAGCACGCTGCAGCCGCTGGTGGCGGAGGGACTCTCGCCGGAGGTGATCATCGCCGACTTTGACAACTGCCAAGACACTTCCGAGACACTTCCGAGACACTTCCTAGGTGATCGTCGCCGACCTTGACAAGGGCGAGCTGCGGCCAGCGACTCTCGGCAGGCACGCCGAGGCCTTTCCTGCCTCTGTCCTCAAGATGGAGGCCGCGTTGCCCCCCGTCGGCGCCCTCGTGCGCCAGCTGCAAGTGCGTGTCCGCGACGCGTCCGCGACGCGTCCGAGACACGTCCCGTAGGCTCCCTCGTGCGCCAGCTGCAAGCTTGCGCGAGCGCGGACCGTTTCGACGAGACGACGGTGCAGGCGGCGTGCATGCAGTTCGTTGCTGATTTGGTCGACCCAGAGGCGACGCACAGACGCCTCCCAGACATCTCCCGGACACCTCCCGGATACCTCCGAGACACCTCCAAGACACCTCGCAGACATCTCGCGGACACCTCCCAGACACCGCCCAGACACCTCCGAGACGCCACCACCACCTTCCCCACACCCGCACCCTCCCAGGCGGGCTTTCTCGCCGAGTCTGGTCACAGCGGGGACGTGGTCGCGCTCCAAAAGTGGCGCCAGCTCCTCTCCTTCGAGGAGGACGTGCGGCTGCGCTGCGAGCGAGACCGCGACGTTGCGCCGCACGCGCACCTCCTCCGGCCAAAGCTGCGCGAGTCGCTCTCGCACTCCCTCGCCTCGGTCTGCGCGCAGCACACGCCCGGCCTCTCACCCTGACCTTTAGTACGACCCTGACTCTTGACTCTGACCCTGACCCTGACCCTGACCCTGACCCTTACCTTGACCCTAGGTCTGCGCGGAGCACACGCCCGGCCTCGCTCCCAGCTCTCGCTCGCGGCCGGTCGGGCTCACCCCCCTAGATGTCCAGGACACGCACCCTTGACTTCCCACTAGCGCTTCGAGAACACAGAGCCCTGGTAGTCCAACTCTCCTGGTAGTCCAACTCTCCTGGTAGTCCAACTCTCCTGGTAGTCCAACTCTCCTGGTAGTCCAACTCTCCTGGTAGTCCAACTCTCTTGGTAGTCCAACTCTCCTGGTAGTCCAACTCTCCTGGTAGTCCAACTCTCCTGGTAGTCCAACTCTCCTGGTAGTCCAACTCTCCTGGTAGTCCAACTCTCCTGGTAGTCCAACTCTCCTGGTAGTCCAACTCTCCTGGTAGTCCAACTCTCCTGGTAGTCCAACTCTCCTGGTAGTCCAACTCTCCTGGTAGTCCAACTCTCCTGGTAGTCCAACTCTCCTGGTAGTCCAACTCTCCTGGTAGTCCAACTCTCCTGGTAGTCCAACTCTCCTGGTAGTCCAACTCTCCTGGTAGTCCAACTCTCCTGGTAGTCCAACTCTCCTGGTAGTCCAACTCTCCTGGTAGTCCAACTCTCCTGGTAGTCCAACTCTCCTGGTAGTCCAACTCTCCTGGTAGTCCAACTCTCTCGACAAGACACGCGTGTAGGCCCTTCCTCGCGCTCTGCTACGCCGCCAAGCCCTTCCGCGAGTGGTGGGCGAGCGATGGCGCCTCACTCAGGCCCGAGGTACGGACGTGCCTGAGGTGCACCGCTCACCCACGCGCACCGGGCCTTGCACTTTCAATGCCGTGCCGGCTCCTGTCGTCTAGACGTGGAGTCGCGAGGGACCAGCCTGGCCCTTGCCCCACCACCTCGTGTGTGTGTGGAGACGTGTACCTTACCTGACCTCGTTTGCCTGAGGTACCGCGAGCACCAGCTCAATCTCGCGGACCACGTCGGCGACCACAAGCTCACCCTACAGCCACGGGACCGAACCCACACTGGGTTCGAGACGCTGGAGGGCATGGTACTAGGCGACCACAAGCGGGCGCTCGACGCGGTCGAGACGTCGCTCTTCGCAGAGGTGTTCGAGCTGGAGCTCGAGCTGCTCGACGACGAACCCGACGAGCTGCAGGCGGCCGCCGCTGCTGCCCAAGCCGCCGGGAAGGTTGCCAAGGCTGCCGAGAAGGCCGCCGAGAAGGCTCTTCCCCAACTGCCGCCACCGCCGCCGCTTCCGCCGCCGCCGCCGCCTCCGCCGCCGCCGCCGCCGCCGCCGCCGCCGCCGCCGCCGCCGCCGCCGCCGCTGCCGCCGCCGCCGCCTGCCGACGACGAGGAGCCCTCCTCCCCTCCTCTGTCGTCGTCTCTGCCGCCGTCCAATGTCCCGGTGGCGCCAAGTCTCCCGCCACCCGCAGCGCCTCCCCAGCAGCTGGAGGAGCAAATAGACGCTGCAAATCCGCACGCGATGGACCACTGAGCGGGGAGTGTGAGCGGAGGCTGTTGGGTGTGTGTAGTAGTATACCAGATGCGCTGAGTTGGGCTATAGTATGTACATCGGCGTCCGTTTTTTTTCTACAGACTACACACGATTCTAGAGCCGTACCCGCACAGTCCCCACACTAGCCGGCGTACAGCCGTACCCACCCGACCGCCGGCGCCGCGGCGCGCACTCGCGCAGTGGCCAGTCCCAGTGCGGTGCGCGCCGCAAAACAGACCAAAACAGCGTGTATGCAATGTGAGTCCGAGCCGGGTGCGGCCGGGTGCGTGTGGGTCTGTGTGCGAGGCTCGCAGTAGACCCAAGACGAGAGGTGGGATTGAAAAGTGGAGGGGAGAGAAGTGCGTGCACGAGGGCGCGTCAGAGCGTTCTGCGAGCGGCGGGATCGGCGTCCGGAGCCGCATCTCCTCTCTGCAAGCCGGTGCGCTCCGCCTCTTCCGGCGAGCAACGCGCGAGGCGCAGCCGCAGGAAGAAGCGCTGCAGCGTCGAGGCGGCCTCGAGCCGCGCCGCGAGCGGCGGCTCGTGGCCCGGCGGGGTGCGGCGGCCGGAGAACTCTCCCCGCGCGGGCGGCTCGGCGGGCGCGAGCGGCTTCGCGGCGCGGCACGCCTCGACGATGTCGGCGAGGGTGGCGTTGAGCACGTTGCGAGAGGCGCCCTGGTTGAGGGCGATCGAGATGACGTGCGGCACGGTGCTCGCGAGCACGCGCGACGCGTCGGCGAGCCGGACCCCGGCCTTTGTGAGGACGGCGCTTGAGCCCGGGTTGGCAGCGTCGAGCGTCGACTCGAGGCCCTCCAGGAAGAGGCCCGCGCCGTCAAAGTCGAAGGCCGCCTCGCCTAGGGAGTGTCTCGGAAGTGTCTCGGAAGTGTCTAGGCAGTTGTCAAAGTCGAAGGCCGCCTCGCCTGCGGTGAGCGCGACGCCGACGATGGGCACCTTTGCCTGCACGACGAGAGGGGGGGGAGCGCGCGTGGCAGATGAGAAAAGGATCTCAAAGGTGAGAGGCATCCTCTCAACGAGAGGGAGGGAGAGAGAGAGAGAGAGAAAGAGAGAGCGGCAGGGAGGGAGGGAGGGAGGGAGAGGGAGGGAGGGAGGGAGGGAGGGAGGGAGGGAGGGGGAGAGGGAGGGAGGGAGGGGGAGACGCATATTCGCCTGGACCGCCGTATAGAGCTCGAGCAGCACGTACGGCCGTCGCAGCACCTGTTCACACTTCCAGCTGTGAAGAGGCGCTCGCGGTGTTTGCCGCCGCGCAAACCGCCGCACGAGCCCACCGACGCGCTCTGCAGCACAACCAACACCTCTGAGTCTCGGACAGACTCTTGCAGCTCGCGCAGGTCGCGCAGGTCGTCGCTGTCGAGGAAGGCCTTGCCACCGAGCCGCTCCTGCGAGACAGGTGTGAATAGACAGGTGTGAATAGGCCTTGCCACCAAGCCGCTCCTGTGGGCGCGTCGTGAACGCGTCGGGGACGTGTCGTGGGTACGCCGGCGAAGGAGGGAGAGAACGAGGCCTGCAGCTCGCCCTGCAGCCAGCGCGCCTCCATCGCCGCCTCCGCCTTGTAGTGCGAGATGAAGACGGACCACCGCTTGCCGCTCGCCCTGCGCGGAGCCTCCTCTGAAGAGCTGCGCTGCACCTCGCCCGCCGCGGCGAGCTTGAGGCAGTCGCCGCCGCCCGTCCCGCGCCCCAGCTCGAAGAGGGCGTTGTGGAGGTGGCCTACCTCCGCGTTGTGGAGGGCGTTGTGGAGGGCGTTGTGGAGAGAGAGAGGCGTTGTGGAGGGCGTTGTGGCCCGGGATGCGCGAGCGGGCGGCGATCTGCTCCTGGATGCCCGCCCTCAGCCGCGCCGCCTCGGCGCGGCCGAGCGAGCCGCGCCTCGCGCGCTGCAGCCGAACCGCTGACGCCTCCATGTCTCCACTCGTCCGCTCCACCAGCAGCGCATCGCGCTCGCGCCGCCGCCGCTGCACGGCCTCTTCAAGCCGCGGGATGTCGGCGACACGGAGCGGCTTGCGGACAAACAGGTCGGCGCCCGCCTCGGAAGACGCCTCCTCGAGCGCGTCGTCGCTCGACATGACTGCACAGCAGAGCCGCCGCCCCTCAACCGAGCGAAGTTTGCGCACCAGGCCGACGCCATCGTTGGAGGAAGTCAGCACGAGGTCGAAGCGGCGCGCGTCCAGCGCCTGTAGTGCCTCAGCCGCGTCCGACACCGCCGTCACCACATGGCCTCGTTTGGCGCACATCGCCTTGACAGCGGTGCGCTGCAAGGCGTCGCCCTCCACGAGCAGAGTTCTCACCGTCGCCGACGGAGACGTTGCCTCGCGGTGGGGCTCAGCATCGCCCCACTCGACCATCACGGCGTCCTCCTGCGCAAGGACTAGTGACACCCCAGGATGAATATTGCCGCGAAATCACGTCCCCCCGATGGGACACTTTCTTTTATGACCGCGCAAGATAAAGGGGTGGCTAAGGGCTCTGCCCGCAAGGCGCCCACGTCGCAGACGCGGTACCATTGACAAATCTGCGATATACCCCCACACGAGCAAATAGCCAAAATCCGAATACCGTGCACGAATCCGGCGATGTGCGCCGTGCAAGCCTTCAGCTGGTGCCAAGACATTCGTAAAATTGAAGCCAAGAATCCGCCAAATCCGTGCTTTCGCGCTACCTGAGGGGAAAGCCGCTGATCGAGCCCAGTGCCCGCGGCCGCCTCCCGCGCAGCACCGCCGCTGCGGAATCGGATCGATCCCATGGAGGAGGAGGGCGCAGTCGGCCAGCGCAGCAGGCGGAGTCCCTCCCCGCGCCGGAGCCCCCCTGCAGTCGAGGGAGTCCTCGTTGGCGATGAAGGTGGCGACATCGAATCGCGGCCGACACACGTCACGGGAGGAATGGGCGATGAGCGGGAACGATGCGCGCTACGACGCCGACTCCGCCGTGCTCGTGGCCGCAGAAAGCCGCGCTCCAGGAGCACGCCAAGATGCAATGGCACGCTTGCTTCGATTCAGCTCTCTCGGCAGCAGAAGTGGGGCTGGAGCGGGTGGGGGTGGATGCCGAGGGGGAGCGTCTCCAGCTGCGCCCTGTGGCAGCTGCGCCCTGTGGCAGCTAGTCGAGGGACTTGGTAGTTGTGACCCCCCTGAGTGAGCGGACAGGAGAGAGAGAGCGTTTTGTGGTGTTTGTTGGTGTACGCAATAACGGGACAGGGTGGTTGTTCTCTCTATCTCCTCTTCTAGCTCTTAGCATGAGCTGCGCCCGGTGTCCGACCCCTTTTGCGCAGCAACACCTTAAACTTTTAGGCCCTCCAAATTCGGGTCGGAGCGTAGCGGAGTGGGCCCCGAGTTTGAAAAGGGCGACGGACGCTTGCGTCCTAGCCTCCAACAACGCCTCCCCGGCGCAGAGGGGCCCCCGGTGGGATGCACAACCGCTCCACGCCACGCCGCTTGCGGCGGTCCTCTTCCCAGTCCGCTGAGGGCCCGTGCGTTATTTTGCCCAGCAGCGCGCCCTCGCCGCAGCGCTGCGCTGCACCAATGGCCGCCCCGGCTGCCACGTCGGCCAACGCGCCAAAGGAGACGGTGTACGTCAACAACCTGTCGGAGAAGGTCAACCAGGAGGAGATGAAGAAGTCGCTCTACGCCGTCTTCGCGCCCTTTGGCCCGATCATCGACATTGTGCACTTCAAGAGCAACAAGATGCGAGGGCAGGCGTTCGTCGTCTTCCGCGACGTGCCCGCCGCTTCGAGCGCGGTCCGCCAGATGCAGGGCTTCCCCTTTTACGACAAGCCCATGAAGCTCGACTATGCAAAGGCCAAGTCGGACGCGACGGCGCGCGCGCCCGGCAGCCCTTGCGCCCGCGAAGCTGGCGACGCCCCCCCCTCCCGCCCCCCCTTTCGAGCTCCGCCCCCGTCGGACGCCGCAGGCGAAGCTCGACGGCTCGTACCTCGCAAAGGTGCGGGAGGAGCGCACCGCAAAGAGAAGGGCGGAGCGCGAGGAGCGCAAGGCGGGCGCCAAGAAGGAGAAGGCGGCCGCGCCAAAGGCGCCTCGCGAGGAGGCCGCGGACGCCGAGATGGCGGCGCCCGCCGCGCCGGCGGCGCCCGCCGCGCCCGCCGCGCCCGCCGCCAACCTGCCGAACCCGATCCTGTTCGTGGAGGACCTGCCAGACCAGGTCAACGAGATGATGCTCTCGATGCTCTTCTCGCAGTTCCCCGGCTTCAAGGAGGCGCGCGCGGAGCACTCGCCGCCTCGCCCCCGCGCGGCCCGCCCCCTCCCCGTCACGAGACCGCCCTCGATCGCCGCCGCGGGAGCGGGTTTTGAGGGCACCGCCCCTCGAATCCCCCCC